GTAGATACTATGTCTGGGAATTAGAGAAATTACTGCTTTGGACAGGTTTTCACAATCCTTGTAGGAGCAGGCATATAATGGAGGATGTTCTTAGAGTCACGATGATGAAGGCATAAATGTCTGGCAAGGAGTTCTGCTTTCCAGATTTGGCTGGTTTGTTATCTAAAGCCATTCTTGGATATCTTGGTCATTGTGACTGATACACTGGTAACCTCCAGATTGGACAACTGTAATATGAAAAGGTGCTGCATCATAGATAACATGCATCAGATGGTATTGTTGCTATTGTACCAACTTTCCTGCTGCACAGCAACTTCCATGCCTGAGTTGCTTTATGCAACTGGGTTGGTGGTAGAGTCCCCCAGTTTTATGGTACTGGAAGACTTTAATCTGCTTTCCCTAGGTGCAGGTTCATAGGTTCTTCAGGAGTTCATGGCCACCATGGCAACCATGGACGTGACACAGATTATTGAGGACTCAGTACATAGTGGAGATTGCACATTAGACCTGGTTTTTGTCTTGGGGAGGTGGCAATGTGATCTGGAGTTGTAGGGTGTTATGATCAGATCATTCTCTGCTAGCCTTGGAGCTCTCTGCAGCTGCTCCCCACTGGAGGGAGGGAGGACCTATTTGATTGGTCCACCTCAGGTGTTTGATGAACCCTGTTGAGTTTAAGATGGAACTTCTGAGGCTTTAATGTATGGTTCAGTGGAAGCTTAGCAGGTGCTTGGAATGAGAGGCTGACAATTACATTGCACCTGTGTGAGCTCCCTGGTTTTCAGAGCAGGTCCACAAAATAAAATGGCAGAAGAAACACCTAGAGCACTGTTAGAAGAATACAAAGAGCAAATGGATAGGGGGCTTTATTGAGGATTACCTTGTGGGAAAAGAGCAGTAAAATATTATTTTTCTGCCTTTATTACATCCATAGAGAGCTGGCTGGTAGCCCTCTTCAAGGTAGGCAGGGAGGTACCAGAGGAATATTTACAGGGCTGCTGTGAGGATTCTTTGAGGCATCTGTTAGAGAAAGTCTTGTAGATCTGCTTGGAGCTAGATTCTGGATATGCAGCTTTTGTGAAGTTGGCTGAGATATGATCTGGCTTGGTCACTGGAGAAGAGTTTGAGCCTGTTAGTCCTGATGGTGTGGATATGATGTGTGGTTGACTCCAGGCAGTGGTGAGTGCATCCTTGATGTATGGGACGGTCCCACTAGCACTTAGGGAGTGATCTGTCATGAAACCATTGCTGGATTTAATGGTGCTGGAGAATTTTCATCCTATCAACAACCTTCCCATTGTTGAGAAGATTATTGGGTTACAGCTTCGGAGGGCCCTGGAGCGTGTGGATTATTTGGACCCTTTTCAGTTGGGTTTCAAACCTGGATATAATACTGAGACTGCATTAGTCGATGTTCTCTGGTGGGACCAGGATGGATCTCCTTGTGTATTGTTCTATCCCCAGCCCAGCAGAATTGGGTCACAAGTGTTTTTGGATTTAGAAGCAATGACCACGCTAGTATGAGTACTTAAGGCTTTATTCCAAGACCGTAAGGGAAAGAGATACACACCTTTCATTTCTTCCTTGCCAGTCTTCTAGTGAAACTACCATTATTACATCTTGATCTCTCAGCGATTGTGATTAAATGCTTAGCAGGTCTTGGCAATACAAGGGAAGCAGCAAGTTAAGAGAAGAAACAGGGCTGTTAAAGAAGAAATGATTGACTTCTGGGGAGGGGGGTCATGTCAGGAAAAGAGAGTAATTCCACCTTAATTACTCTAGGTATAGTTGTGCGGGAGAATGCATTTGGTAGGCTTTCAAAATTCTGTTAATTAATCCTACTTTCAAAAGTCAGTTAATTAACCCTACTAGCAATGAAGATCTTTCCAGAAATCCAAGTGGTTCTTATTTCCTGAGCTTGTCAGCCTCACAGGGCTTGATATTTACCTTGAATGTCAGTCAGTCTTGCTGCCTCTTCTATGTTCCCAAGATCTATAAATCATTCCATCACAGGGACTTTCAATATCGTCAATAATTTGTTCTCCTGGACCAGTTTCAGGCTGGAAGTGGGAGCCACAGTATTGCAGCAGTTCTCCTCCTTCCTCTAGGCTCTGTTTCACTTGTGGGGGGAGGGGGGAGAAATCTAGTCCTAAGCCTTTGCTTTGTGGACTTCTTCAAGGTACTACTCTTTTCCCACTCCTGTTTAACATCTATGGGAAACTGCTGGATGAAGTCATTGGTCAACACAGCATTAGGTATCATCAATATGTTGATGATACTCAGTATATGTCTCTACCTGTGGCTGCCCAAGTGAGGCTATCAAGGTTCTTTCCCAGTGTCCAGAGGCTGTGGGAGTCTGAATGGGGAAGAACAGACTTTGACTTAATCCTAGTAAGACCAAATGACTGTGGGTTTTAGTCCCTTATCCCAATCTGGGGACTTCCCATATTTTGTCCTGGATGAGGTAACATTCCCTCAGATAGAGCTGGTAGACAATTTGGGAGTCTTCTTGAACTTTCAGTTCCAGTTCAAAGAGCAGGTAGCTCCTGTGGCCAGGAGGCCCTTTGCACAAATCCATCTTGTGCATCACCTGTGCCCATTCTTGGATCAGGAAGCCTTGTTTATGGTCACTCGTGCCTCCTAGTTGAACTGTTACCTCTCATCTGGATTACTGCAATGTGCTATATATGAGGCTGACCTTGAAGACCATACAGAAGCTACAATTGGCCCAGAATGTTGCAGCCCAAGTAGTTACAAGTGCACCACCTTGTAGCAATTGACACCACTACTTCACAAGTTTTATTGGCTTTCAATAGGCTTCTGGGTACAATTCAAGGTGTTGGTTACCATCTGTAAAGCTCTTCATGGGGCAAGACTGGATTATATTCAGGACTGCCAATGATTACTGCCCATCTTACAACATCCGAAAGGGTATGCATGCTCCAGTTCTCCTTTGTGAAACAATGGCATCCAATAAGATCCAGGAGGTATGTCTTCTCTGTTGCAACACCTGCCCTATGGAGTAGCATACCCCTTGAGATTTGAATGGCCCTGAAATCTGTTTCTTCCCCTGGGCATTGGGCCAGAGTGTTAGATGTGCCTGTTTGCTTTGCTTTTTTAAGGGTTATGTGAATTGTTCTGGTTGGTCTGTATTGTACTGTAAACTTTTGTTTCTGGTTTTGGTTAATTTTTGTTTATCTGTTTTCAAGCTGATGTTAGCCACCCAGAATCACAATATGCGAATTTGATTCTAAGCCAAAGTTGTTTAAGGTAGAAGTTTGTATGGTAATAATTGAAGTTCTCTGTTATTACAAGAACGTCTCCTTTTTAGGCCTTTGTGATTGTTTTCACCATTTCAGAGTCACCCTTAGCACTGTGATGGGGTGAGTGATAGCATATTCCTTGATCTGATCTACATTTGTGACTAGACATTACCACCAATGGTGATTTTGTAGATGAATTTTGTCTTCCAGTGTTTTCTAGTATGTTAAATTTTCTACCTTTCTTGATATAAAAAGCAGCATCTCCTCTAATATAGCCTTCCCTCTTTTTTTCTATAAAGTTTGTATCCAAGAATGATAATATCCCACTGATCTGTTCCATCAGGTTTCTGTTATACTCACTATATTTATATGCTCTGCAACCAGATTGCTAGATATATAACTTAGCTTAATTCAGGAGCTCAAGTCATATATCACATTCCTTTCTCTCGTTGTTCCACACAATGCAGATAGTAGATGAGAATGTTGACCTGATGTGGGTGTAACTGATGCCCAGATTGGAGAGTTCCTCTTGCCCAAGCATGTATCTCTGTGTACTCAGTACAGTATTAAAATAGACCACAGGTCAAAGGAGTACCAAGTGCTGTAATGTGTAGGAGTTCTCTCCTATGACATCTATCTTGATTTTAAAAAAAAAACATGCTTGGTATTTGGGAGTGATTGGGGATTTTGTTGATTTAGACTGCTGCCTAAGCTGAGTGAAGTTATGTTGAAATTGTGTTGAGGAATAGTGGTTTGGGGAAACTAATATCCCAATGGAGCTACAGTGATTGAAACAAACATGCATGGTTCCATAACAGCTTTGGAGCTGTTCCCATTTGTTAACAGCCATATTCTGTAATTGGGTCACATGTGATTTTGTGTACTAGGTACTACATAGTAGGAAGTTTTTGCAACTATGCCCTTGTAATGATCAAACTATTTCCTGCTGAGGTTTAGACTTAAGCCACTACTCTTCTCTGCAGGATGGGAAGTCTATCAGAATGGTCCATCCAGGAGATTAATAGATTGTTCTCAGAGAGATTTTTCATACTAGTATTAAAAGCCTGGTCATCTGGAATATGGAGATGATCCAGGCAACTGACATGATTGTTCTAGGTTGTGTTTTTCTACTTTGCAAAGCTCATTTACAGTAATGTCATATTCACTAAAACTGAGGAAAAATGAAGAAATCAGAAGATAACTAGAATGCAGATAGAGAAAATTTCATCTTTAACTGGGAAACTATAGATGATGGCTTCCTAATAAGCAAGATATAAAGCCCACTTGAAATCATAGTTTCACATTCTATCTTGCTTTGAAGTTATTAACTATAGTTTCCTGGTTTGAGCATGATGGGAAGCTTATACGATGGACATGTGGTGAGGCAGCTATATGTAGATGCATAGTGTTCAGTTCATACAGTTTATTAAGGTGAAATTTAATTAACTGAACATAATTATTGCTTATATATAAAGTTTATAGTATAGGCTTATAGTTTTAGTCAAATTGACTGGTCTTAATACATTTGCTTATATTAAATATCTAATTTGTTATGTTAGAGTCCACGTGAATGGGATTCAACAGAATTACTTGTAAATTGAAACCTTTTACTGAAATGGTAATGTGTTGCAGATTCTTAGACTGTTTCTTAATTTTAAAATATTTTTACAGGTGTACTTGCTTCAATTAGTTTGAATTAGTTCAAAATCATTTTCAGGTTTTTAATATTCTGTATTCTGTCTTTTTAAAATGCCCAAGTTATTTCAATTTGTTTTGCCAATTTTCTCTTTCACAGCTTGCACTAAAAGGATCTAATTATAGTGGTCTATTAGAGCGGCATCGGATTCATACAAAAAATGTGGAACATATTGTAAATAGTCTAAGGTAAGGGTATGTATTAAGAATTGTGATTATAGCTGAATAGATGTCAGTGAGCAGCGGCTCTGAACATTTGTACATTCACCTAATGTTCCCTGTTTTAAATGTACTATATAATGGCTCTGACCCAGTAGTATGTCATAGAGCTATGAAGCACATTGGATTCACCATCAAAAGGTAGTTCGGAATCCACGGGAACATAAATGTAGCACCTCTCTGCAATATCTTAAAGAAGTTTCTTTGCTGGGATCCTGCATGCACTGAAACACCTTTTGGAAATAAAATCTGAAGCTCTAATATGTAACTTTGCTCTTTGTTTCATGTTCTGTATAGTGGTC